GCAGCAGCAGCAGCAGCAGCAGCAGCAGCAGCAGCAGCAGCAGCAGCAGCAGCACGGTGGAAGCTCAAGGGGCCTCCTCTCGGCTGCCCCGCAGCAACCAAAGACAGACAGCTGTTTCACGTTGCGCCCCCAGGCTGCTAGAACAAACTCCTGCTGCTGCTGCTGCTGCTGCTGCTGCTGCTGATGCTGCTGCTGCTGCTGATGTTGCTGCTGCTTGTCCCCAAGTCAGCAGCAGCAACGAAGCAGCAACGCCTTTGCTGCAGGCAGCAGGAGCAGCAGCAATAAAACAAGCAGCAGCAACGCCAGCAGCACCAGCAGCAGCAGCAGCAGCAGAAGCAGCAGCAGAAGCAGCAACAAAAGCAGCAGAACCAGGGGCTGCAGCGGCAGCTGCAGCAGCAGCTGCTGCTGCCGCAGCGGCAGCAGCTGCAGCAGCAGCAGCGGCAGCAGCTGCAGCACCACCATCACCACAATCAGCAGCAGCACCAGCAGCAACTGCCCCGCCACCAGGAGCAGCAGTAGCAGCAGCAGCAGGAACAGCAGCAGTAGCAGCAGAAGCAGCAAGAGCAGCAGCAGCAGCAGCAGCAGCAGCAGGAGTTGATGATGATAGAAGGGTGGGGGGGGGCCGTCTGCTGCCATCCCCTTCCTCTCTGCGGTACTCTTCTCTGCAGCCAGCAGCAGCAGCAGCAGCAGGAGCAGCAGCAGCAGCAGCAGCAGCAGGAGAAGAAGCAGCAGCAGCAGCAACAGCAAGACGAGCTTCATCTGCCTCTGTGCTGCCCCCTGCAAGGACTCCGCTGGAGCATGCGCTGCTGACAGCTGCACAACAGCAGCAGCAGCAGCAGCAGCAGCAACAGCAGCAGCAAAGAAGCAGCAGCCCCGCTGCTTCTGCATGCACTGCAGCAGGAGCAGCAACGACAGAAGCAACGCAGCGGGGCATTCAGCATCTTATCACCCAAGACAATCAGCAGCAGCAGCAGCAGCAACAGCAGCAGCAGCAGCAGCAGCAGGGGTCTGAGGGAGGCAGGGAAGCCCATATTTCTTTGCATGCAGCTGCAGCAGGCGATCTAGCAGCAACAGCAGCAAAAGCAGCAGCAGCTGCAGCAGCTGCAGCAGCTGCAGCAGCACCATCCCCAACGCCGCCAGCAACAGCAGCATCAACCACACCAGCAGCAGCAGCACCAGCAGCAGCAGCAGCGCCAGCAGCAGCAAAGGCAGCAGCTCCAACGGCAACACCAGCAACACCAGCAGCATCAACAACTCCTGCTGCAGCTCCAGCAGCAGCAACAGCACCAGCAGCAGCAACACCAGCAGCAGCAGCAGCACCAGCATCAGCCCCAGGAGCATCAGCAGCATCAACAGCATCAGCACCACCAACAGCAGCACCAGCAGCAGCAGCGGCACCAGCAGCACCACCAGCAGCACCACCACCAGCAGCAGCACCAGCAGCAGCAGCAACACCAGCACCAGCAGCAGCACCAGCAGCAGCAGCACCAGCAGCAGCAGCAGCACCAGCAGCAGCAGCAGCACCAGGAGCAGCACCAGCAGCAGCAGGAGATTTCCCTCCAACCCCAGGACTATGGCATCAGCCTTTGCTGGAGCCTCCATCTCCACTGTCTCAGCAGCAGCAGCAGCAGCAGCAGCAGCAGCAGCAGCAGGAGCAGCAGCAGCAGCAGCAGCAGCAGAAACCGAGTGTTTTATCCCATATAAGAAACCACCGTCTATACAATTCAGATTGTTTAGGATTGCAGCACGAAGACAACAGCAAAAGAAAAGATATAGGGGGGCCCCCAGAAGGGTACTATGGGGGGCCCCCCTATAGTATGGGGGGCCCCCCATCCCCTTCTATTAGTATAGCTCCCTTTTGTTCATCTGTTGGTTGTGCTGCTGCTGCTGCTGCTTCTGCTGCTTCTTCTCTTTCTTCTTTCTCTGCAGGCAAACAAACACCACCAACAACAACAAAAAACAACATACGCGGGGGCCCCCCCTCCTCTCGCTCACACCTATGGCAACACAGAGTACCCTCTTGGAGGGGCCCCCCACCTCATGGGGGCCCCCCACGACCCCGTGGATGTGGGGGCCCCCATGGGGGCCCCCTTGGGGGCCCCCTCCCCCTGGGTGGTATTGGGGGCCCCCGTGGGGGCCCCCTAGGTCCTGGGGGTG